GGGGCTTTTGTTATCTGCAATTGGCTGTAAGCAGAGAGGGACGCAAGTAAATCTGGTCGTGCCTAACCCTAGAAAGATAACCCTTTATTATTATTGCAAACGTTTTTTCCCTGTGGTTCTGAAGCGTTAGTCGGTGAGATGTCAGACTGGCTGAGCGGGCAGTTTGTGAAGAAGGAGAAGACGCTTGACAATTTTGTGAATTCCTCGTTACCGACGCTAGCTGCTTATTGGGAGTATATGCAGCGCATCAAGCCTACTAGCACATTACCCAAGCTCGCGTTGAGGATATGCTGATCACAGTGAACACTGTGACTTGCGAGCGGTATTTTTCAGAGCGAGCGTTGATCCACACAGCACTCCGCAACCGCATGGACGCTGGGAAAGCCGCAAAGATTACTGCTGTTCGGAGCCATGTACGAATGACCAGTGAAAAGCAAATTGTTCTGGAGAGCCCTGCTAAGCGTCTGGTTCCAACAACCGAGCCTGATCGAGTTTTGGCGTTTGGTTCCCCTGAGCGACGAAGCTCAACTTCTCGCCGTAACGTGGCGGTACACTTTAGAGAAGGCGAAACTCTACCAGAAGATGCTGATGATCTTATTGATGAAGAAGACGATAGCGAACATAGCGCAGAAGTTGACTGTGTATCTTACTGGGAGCAAGTTCTATCGGTGATGAACGAATCTGATGAAGATACACAAGTTGCAGCTCTTCTGGAGTCTATGACACGTTCAATCAGTGCCGACGCTGAAAATGCAGAAGAAGTGGAGGACATTCCGCTGCAGCCAGCAGAACGACACCCACTTCCAGAAGATGCAACACTATGCGCTCAAGAAAGTCTCGTTCTTCGTGGTCTTCGAGGGCGAAAGGTAAAGCTCAGTGATTTCAAAATCCTTACCCTATATGGTCATCTTGATCTCGGTTTTGGTCGAGGTTGTATGTTGATGTTAATATCATTCCTCCCTTGTTTCGTCTGTAGCTACTTCTGTATATTTTCAGAAAATGACAGCAACTTTGGTTTCTCTATCTGCTTCTTCAGTGTTGTGAGGCTCTGTCAGCTATTTCAACGGTGTATTCTCCTCGCGCTCATGCGCCATGTTCATTTCCAGAGCGTGAGATAGCTTTGTAGTGGCGCAATGTCGAACTTCACCGCTATCGGCACATACAGCAATCAATGGGATGTAGCCCTTTGTGGAGATAAGTCTCACATCTTCGTCTACGAAGGCGGCGTCAGCCGTGGGTAGATCCAACAAAAATTCGCCTGTAACTACGAAACTGCACTAAGTTTCTATGGTCTTTCCAGCATGCATGGGGGTGAGTCTGCACACGGTGCCCAACCAGCCGAACAGAATACTCAACATCAAGGATATCCACAACGTAATTTGCGACAATGACGTGCACTACTTCCGCACGAGACTTGTTGAGATCGAGAAAACCCAGAACTCCCATGATGGCCGGGTCTTACCGATGCCACGCATCCTCGACGTCGAACAGTTCTGCCACGAGCGTAACCTCCTTCTTCACGGCGACGGCGCTCGTCTGGTCAATACCAGTGTGGCCTCTGGAATCCCAATGGACGATCTCGTGCCTCGGTCTCGCTCTGTTTGAGCAAAGGTTTGGGAGCGCAGGTCGGCTCCATCCTGGTCGGATCATACAAGTTCATCTATCGCGATAAATC